CTCTCTGTTTCTCTCTGTTTCTCTCTGTTTCTCTCTGTTTCTCTTTGTTTCTCTTTGTTTCTCTCTGTTTCTCTTTATATCTCTTTGTTTCTGTATCTCTCTGTCTCTCTTTGTTTCTCTCTGTTTGATTCTGTTTCACTCTGTTTCTATTTGTTTCTATCTGTTCTCTCTTTTCTTTCTAGTTCTCTCAGTTTCTCTCTCTCTTTCTCTTTTTTTCTCTCTCTGTTTCTCTCTGTTTTACTAGCTCTCTCTATTTATGCCTGATTTTCTTTGTTTCTCTCTGTTTCTCCCTTTTCCTCTCTCTCTTTCTCTCAGTCTATGCCTGTTTTCTTTGTTTCTTTCTGTTTCTCTCTGTTTCATGCACTCCAGTCTCTCTCTTTCTCTTTAGTTATTAGTTCAAACTCTCTGCAGTCAGTCTGCAGTTGCTTAGTGGTGGCTACTAGGGAGTAGGGGTTGGGATAGTAGGGGTGCTCTGTATAAAGTAGTAATAAGGGGTACTCTATGTATAGAAGGTCCGTCCATGCCGCGCGGTGTGTTGTATTACTACAGAGTACAGTAACACAGTTTAGTATTTAGTATGAGTTTGATTCTACCGGATAGTAGACCGGAGACCCTGAGTCCTACTCCTAGCTAGTTCGGTATTGTTTGTATTAAAGTGTGAACCTCGTGTGATACATCTGAGCTTGAAAACCAAGCCGAATTGTTTAACAATATATCTCCTAGAGATATTTTCAATTCTAAGCTCACATCACCACTTTTAAGGAATTAAAAGTATTATTGATTTTCTGGTCTAAAAACTTTTTGTGCAAATATGCAGTTCTTAGTTATTGCCTGGTTAGTAACGCTTTAATGCAAAATTCGTACAGCCCACGAGTAGGACTGGACACGTTCAGACTTTTTTATATAGTTCGGTAACGAACATTAAAATAACGAAACTTTTTATGTACACACGTTTGTTCTTAGCCAAGAACTGAATGTTCCGTTTAGTTAACGTTTTTCCCGTTCATTCTATTAAATTTGTTAACGATTTCAATTATATTAACGACGTCAATGGTCAATGCTATAGAAATCTTTAGCGATGCCAGTAGTTAGTGATTTATTCATTTGATTATTTGATTATTTAAATATCTCGCATTAGTGAAAAAACAGAAGACAGCATTTAAAAACAGCAAAACAACTCAACATTTTCTTATAAAGGCATCCGTTTGTTAAATTTTGAAATTGTGAGACAAACGAACACATCTTCCCATCATTTATCAGATAATAGTTCAACCGTTTTGAATCGGGTATGCCAGTTCTTTAAATATGGTCATATAATATTACAGTCGAATATAAAGATTTGGACTCTAATATTTTGTAATGTTTGTAATGTGAAAACTCTATTATTTTGTAATGTTACCTTGTGAAAGCAAGTAAAAGAGATTTAATTATTAAGAAAAGTACTTAACCCTATCTCTGCTGGGGTACTTGAAAACCAGGATACGCTGGGGGGTACAAAAATATTTTGTCAAAAATCACTTTCTTAAACGATCTCTGAACCATGAACAATCAATGTCTCAACTCGAACACGATCTCATAAACTATCAATGCCTCTACTCGGACACAATTATCATTGTCTCAACTCAAACACAATCTCATAAACTATCATTGTCTCAACTCAAACACAATCTCATAAACTATCAATGCCTCAACTCAGACACAATCTCATAAACTATCATTGCCTTAACTCAAACACAATCTCATAAACTATCGATGCCTCAACTCAATGCCTTGACTAATTGTTCCTTGCTAAACAAGGAACAATTAGTCAAGAGTCTATTTCAACTGACGTGTAATTAGATATCTAGGCTAGGTTAGGTTAATTGCATTCCAATTTTTGCGTAGTTGATGATAAGCGCATTTAGATTTATAGACAATGTACAACGTAATATATCTAGGTAGTATGTTCAGGTTAACAAATATAGGGATTGCCACGATATTTGCTACATTCAGATACTTGAAAAATTATTAGCACAAGAAACATATATTTTCTTGAAATTTCATTTTGAGAAAAATAAATATTTTTTTAAACACTTATTTGTGAGAAAAAAAACATTTAAAAAAAATCATTTTGACTGTTGTATCGCTAAATTTGTTTGTTTACACCTCTGAGTCTGAACCGGCCCCCCCTTTCCTACTTTTATAATTTTTATGTCTTGAAAGATCCGCTGTTTTGTTTTTATGCATTTCTTAATTAGGAAGGGACAAAATAAAACAATAAAACAAAATAAAGCCAAAAAATCAAAGCAGAAAAAAATATAGTGTGGCGGCGTAGTGGCGGAAGACGAGACTTCTGAGGAGTTTTGAACCTAAGATCTAGACACGGCAAGATGAGCAACTTCCGGCCACGTCACCTATCTATCTATTGAATATTTTTACGTTTCTATAAATTTAAGTATATAAATTTAGTAATAAAGTAATTATTTAAACAGGCGTTTGTTAAATTGAGCGTAGCTAAATTTGGTGACCCCGAGTTCGAAACTATAGGCATATAGACTGTTTTCCGTGCCATTATAGACTGTTTTTTTAGCTACA